GATTAAATCTAAAACTAAACTAGCACTCGACACGACGATGCAATCTAGAATTCAACAAAGCAAAATCTAATAGAACAATGTAATGGCCCAAATTGTATAGGTAAAGAATAAATATTTTTGTGTGGCAATTTTCTGGTTATGGGAAGATAAATTACCTAATGGACAACCGCGCTCTGATACCAACTGAAGAGGGATGTTAGGTCCCGATCTTCCGATAGGTATTGATAAACAGTCGAATTGGGCAGAGCCGCGACACAACTCGATCCGGCTTCTGAACGAACACGCTACTGAGCCCCACAATCGCAACACCACGTCTCCTCTGGTTATCAACCATGCCAAAACCCGGTTGACCTCGCCGAGAAGGCTAATCCCTGCATGCAAATCAAAGAACACAAGCAAGAACAAGATAGATTGCAACACAATTGCATATGAATGATTAAGCACTTGAATTTAGGGTTCCACAAACCGATCTAGCGGCGAAACTGTTCTTGACTGAATAATCTAAGCAAAACCCGACTCTAAACGATGACAGCTACTGACTAAATATGATTAGGGACGTCCTAGGGTTGCCCCAGGGCGCACAACCCCTTGGGCTAAGCCCACTACACAGTTAAAAGGCCCAAAACCCAAATCAGATTCGGACCAGATGAGATACGTGGCTTGTTTTGCAGATTCCTGGCAGCTCGGTAGGAATTTTGACGTGAGACCAAAACCATCTGAAATTAGACTCCATAAGCTTTCCAACAAGTACTCATGGGCCCCAAAATTCCTTCTAGATCAGTGGCTAGGTCCGTTTGAAGTTGATGCTGTCAGGAGGCCCGAATCTAAAACCATACCGTGTAGAACTTTATCTCTTGTCTTCTATAGACCAAAAGTGACATGGTGAGATGAAAAAATACTTGGAGAAGGTCTTGGTTTGGTCCCCAATCAACTTCTTCAATCATCCATGCATTCCTTACACTCGGTCTCTTTTCTTTCACCCAAGCAAATACCTCTGCGTAAGAAAACATGCAAAACTCATTGTGTAGCAACGTTTGTTCAAATATATAACAACAAAATCTAATATATAACATATTCATCTTTGGTTGATTAATACATAAGGTAATCATGCTTATATCTGAGCTAGTTGTGTCCTCATCAGCCTGCCTGGTGCAAAAGTCCTACGGGCTATCGATCGCTGGGCACGATCGGTCCCCTCCCCACATGATTTCCTTTTTGACATTGCAGTACTTTCCTGTTTTAGTAAATTTATACATCTAAACTTTATACACATTAAGTTTACACATCTAAAGTTTATTTTTTTCTAGATAATGGAATAGATAACATCCCGGCCTTTGCTCAATAGAGCAACAGCCAATTATTATAAAGTATCACTCAAAAAAAGAGTGTAGTTCAAACCAAATTAAACACACTCAAATAAAAATAAAGCGACCCACCAAGGTAAAGAGCACACAATTTTTCAAGTCTATTTAAGAATCTCCATTCATAGTTGGCAAAAAGTTGCATGACCATCGTCTCAAGCTTACGACATGCAACCTTCAGAAGCTCTCCATCTTCATCACACATTTGTAGTTGTGCCCAAGATCGGAGCCAATATGTTGCCCTGAAAATTGCCTGCATATATGAGAAAGATGGTGATTTGTCAAAAACAAAATCATTCCTACTCAACCACAGAGCCCAACATATAGCAGATGCTCCTACAAGTATTAGTTTGCTCTTCTTTTTGTCAACCCCCAAAAGAAAATCATCAAACATATGGGATATGGTATTAGGGAGGTATAAACCAAAAGCAAACCGTACCGCCCTCCAAACAAATTTCGCAAAATGACAATCCATAAACAGATGTTGGATAGTCTCATTTTTCATGCAGAAGCAGCATCTTAAGCTTCCATTCCAATTTCGTCTTGCCAAATTATCTTTGGTTAACACAACCCCTTTGAGCAAGTACCACATAAAGATTTTAATCTTGAGCGGCATCTTAAGCTTCTAAATGATCTTATTTCTCTCAATATAACTATTATTGATTAAAGCTAAATACATTGACCTTACTGAACACATACCATTCTGATGGTAATTCCATCTAAGGCCATCAGGAAAATGATTCAATTGAATATATACAATAGAAGCGCATAACTCATGCCAATAAACAAGATTCTGACCCACTAAAGCTCTCCTAAAATAAACATTAAGCGGAACAGATCCCATAACATTAGCAATAGAAGAACTTTTCCTTCGGACTATAGAATATAAAGAAGGATATTTATCTTTGAACGCCAGGTTTCCTAGCCACTTATCCTCCCAAAATCTTATTTGTTCCCATTATTCACAATCCAAGAACCCATATTTAGGAAAGTATTTTTAACTTTCATGAGACCAGACAAAAATGGGAATCACCCTGTTTTTTGTCAACTTGGGTTATAGACTGATTGTAAAGATATTTTATCTTTAATAAGGTCTACCAAACACCCTCCTCATTTATCAACTTAAACAACCACTTGCTCAAAAGACACTTGTTTTGTATTTCCAAATTATGAACCCCCAAACCACCTTGATCTTTGGGCTGACAAATGATATCCCATCTAGTAAGTCTGTATTTTTTTTATGATCATCCCCTTGCCAAAAGAAACGCGATCTATAATAATCAATCTTTTGAAGAACCCCTTTCGGTATCTCAAAAAAGGATATCATAAACATAGCTAAATTTGAAAGAACAGAGTCAATCAAAACCAGTCTACTCCCAACAGACATATGTTTACCTTTCTAGCTACTAAGTTTTTTCTCAATTCTTTGTTCAATGACTCTCCAATCTTTATTACCCAATTTTCTAAAATGCATTGGAATCCCTAGATATTTGACAGGAAAGGTACCTAGCTTACAGCCAAAGATATTTGAATATTGATCATAATACTCCTTTGCTTGGCCAAAACAGAATAATTCACTTTTGTGAAAATTTATTTTCAACCAGATAATTTTTCAAACACGGATAAAATCAATTTCAAATTCTTTGCTTGTTGTAAATCATGCTCCAAAAAGATGATAGTATCATCTGCATATTGTAAAATAGACAAACCATCATCTACTAAATGAGGTACTACCCCATGAAGAGAACCAGCATCTTTAGCCCTCTTAATTAATAAAGCAAGCATATCTGACATCTAAAGTTTATACATCTAAAGTTTGTACACTTAAAATTTGTAGGCCCAAAGTTTATATACCCGATTCAACTTTGTATTTAGATTCAAATATGTTTTTATATAGAATATTTATATACATAAAGTTTATATGTGGGAAGTTGTTAACAGTGAAATTTGGTAAGCCCGGAGTAATCATCGGCTTAGAGTCAGCATCGGCTTTGAAGTCCTGAGATTAGCCGATGAGAGTTGTCGAGTCGTCAGTTGTCGGATTCTTGCTATATTCGGTTAAGGAAATTGATCTATTAAAGGAAACTTATCCAGAAGAGACCGAGTTCAAAGAGAATGCGGCATGGCAAGTTATCTATTAATTAGGAATAGTTTGTTAGTTTCCTTTTATCTTTAGGAAAGTGTGTTTAGTGTCCGACAATGACTTGTATCAACCCATGGGTATAAATATGTACACCCGGGGTCTATGTAATCTATCACATCGATCAATACAACTACTCTCGGCGCATCGCCACCCTCTTTACCGAGGTTTTTACTTATCTTCCGGCGGAATTTGGGCACCTGACGCGGGGCTGCATCGGTTCAGTTCGATCTCCGGCGAAGAGGTAAGTCCTACGTTCCATCGGGCCCTGGTGAATTTGTCATCTACGTCGGCGTCGTTCAAGGCTGCATCAGTATATTCGACCTTTTGGATTGCTACGGTTTGGATGATATATCAACCTACCTATTTATCATATGTCTCTGTTAATCTAGTCTTAGCATATCAATTTAGCTCTATCGGCTGCTACTCGCTTTAGGGATTCTGTCGGTATCGGCTAAATCGTGTTGCTAGATTAGATTAGCTTAGACATCTACCACCCTAAAAATAAGTCAAGGGCTTGATTGTCTATATATTGTGTTTCTCTCCATACTTAGTGCTGCATCAGTTAAGTTTGATCTAATAAGTCGTTCTTAGAACCATAATCTCTAGCCTGCTTGTTGACTGCCAATAAGGGTTTCATCGGGGTTTCAGCCGATGAATTATCTAGACGTTGCATCGGCTTATAAGGATTGTATATATAAGTTGGATTTAGCCGATGACAACAAAGATTTCACTGTTTAATCTAATCTTGTGGATTTTATGACATCGGATCTCCAGCCGATGTATGCTTTAACCTTCGGATCAATGCTTATCTATCATATCATTATTAGCCGATTGGTTTATACTGGATTATATTGTTGTTATATTTTATCATCATCAGCCGATTGCCTTTATATCATCATATACATTGGACATATAGCCAATTGCTTAAACCCTATCGCTATCGGCTGGTATCGGCATCGGCTGGAATTACTCCATCGGCTTATCAGCCGATCGGCTGTTTGATCTATTGTTTACATATCTTGTCAGTTGCAGGATCAAACTGACTGACAGATCTCCCAGGCCGGTGTGTTCGATTTTTTCGTCAACAGAAGTTTACAGTATAAAGTATATATATAAGTATAAAGTCTATGCACATAAATAAAAGATATTGGATTTGTTTTCTATTTTTTTAACTTGTTTTTTTAAAATAAATTATGGTGCAGTAAGTAGAGAATAAGGGGGGAGGAGCTGTGTTAGGGGAGCGATCACCCGACACCCGCCCATTAGCACCACCCGCCTGGTCTGCGTGATAGCGTGACTACGTACGTACGTGAGGGTCGGGAGCGGGGCGCGTGCACAATCAGGATTGTTTTTTATTATTATTATTATAATAAAACGGCAATGACAGACACGCCGCATCGCCCCTCGTTGGGCCGCCACCATTCCTCGTCCCTCTCCTTCTATTAAACGCGTCTGCCCCTCCAACCTCTCCCAACCCCCCAACGGCCCAAACCCCAATGGAGGACCCGCCGCCGCCGCCGCCGCCGCCGCAGAGGCTGCGGTGCGCGGTGCAGCACTACGAGTGGGGCCGACGCGGGGCTGCCTCCATCGTCGCGCGCCTCGCGGACCAGCAGGATCCCGACTTGGCCCGCGCGGACACCCGACGCGCTCGGCCCCGCCGTCGCCGCGCGGTGGGGAGGCGACCTCCCATTCCTCTTCAAGGTACGTACGCTACTATTCGCTGCTTAATTTGTTTTAATTGGCTTGCTTGTTAATTTGTTTCATGTACGTACGTCGCTGGTAGCCGGCGCCGGCAACGCTGGTTACGTGCAGGTGCTTTCGGTGGCCAAGGCGCTCTCGATCCAGGCGCACCCGGACAAGAAACGCGCCGAGGCGCTGCACGCGCTGCGCCCTTCCGTCTACAAGGATGACAACCACAAGCCCGAGATGGCCATCGCCATCACCGAGTTCCGGGCGCTCTATGGTTTTGCGGCCATCCAGGTACTTACTATATACGTGTCCAGAACCATGCCTACGCCTCACTTAGCTCCCTTTGATCCGTCGCAACACAATTTGCTTCTGCCTGGTTAATTGATACAATGTAGGAGCTCAAGGATGTCCTGAGGACTGTACCTGAAGTTGAAGGGCTAATTGGGCATGAGCATGCTGCCAAGCTCATGAGCTTCAAGGAGTATGATGCGGGTAATCAAGTAAAATCCACTTTGCAATCAGCTTTTGCTAACCTAATGTTAGCAAGTAAAGACATGGTTTCTGAAGCACTTTCCAAACTGATCAGTCGCCTGAATATTGAGAGCAAGGTGATTATTTTTTCCTAGACCCATATATAATTGCTGTGAGCTTCTACAGTATCATTTTTTGCGACATCAGTTATTATGGAGTACTCCCTCCATCCAAAAATCTAAGTCATATTTCTTTTGTACCAACACTAACAAGAAATTTTCTCGTGTAACAAAACCAAGAAACAATATGCATGCATGCAACCAATGAATGTTAAGATGGTTGTTTGGGTTCCGGTTAACAGTTTAATTTAGCATGTTAAAACGAAAAGACAACCCTTTATCTAACTCTTATATGTATGGAGCCTACAAATAAGCCAATCTCATTTGGAAAACTCAAGAAATGAAATAGGACTAAGACTTGGATGGAAGGGGTATATAGTAACCTCCGCGCCGCCTCCATATATTTCATTATAGTATTCACTATGACGATGCATTAACGTTTTCTTAATCCATGTGTCATGGAAAAGGTCTTTACGTACTACTGCTACTACCTACTTGTAAATACTTGTCACCGTTAACTTTTGAAATAGTATTTGAGCATTCATCTTGTTCAAAAAAAATCATAAAATCGTTATTTGTTTTGTTAGATGAAACTTTTGTCATGTAATGCATATGTACCTGAGATTTGTTATTTTCATATGAACTAAGCTGTAGGTGTGAACTTTAGGGGCTTCCACTCAGCTTACAGTCAACGACACTTAAGACCATTAAGTGCCAAACATGGGTAGTATTGGCTAAAGTGCAAAAATGAGATAATGTTAAGGTTGAGCATAGCTTACAAGATCATCTACATGCATGTGGCTTGTAGTAAAGCTAAATATCATATTATTTCGAGTATTTATGACAGATGTTAACATTATGTTTCCTTGAAAATAATAATTCTTAGCATAACTGTAAGGTTGATCACAAAAGCCTCGATGAAATGTTGGATATATATATTTCTTTTGAGACATAACAATTGGAAACTGCAAACATGTACTACTGCATGTAGTTTTAGATCAGTCAAAGCTTGAAATCTTGCATGCCATGCTAAAAGGTACCCAAGGTTACCATTTTTATCTACATCGTGTCATTATCCCTTTTGTTTGGATCAACATTATTTGAATGTTTTTTTTTACTCCTTGTTTCTCTGTTACAGCAAGACAAATTTGCACCAATATAATGTTCCCTATTTTTTCATATGACACATATACTTTTGAAGTTGATATGATCCCCCCCCCTCCCTTTTTTTTGCTTACCAAGTATAGTTGCCACCCAATATTTTGGAAGCTGGTGTTAGATCTAAATAACATGCACTAAATTGAATGTATATGCGGTAAACTGCTATATTCCATAATTATAGGCTGGTATGTGCTACAACTCAAATTGCCTAGTGCAATTTGTAATGGTTGAAAAGGTCCTTGAATGGTGATAACTGATCAGCAATAAGACAAAAGAGGCAGATCGCTGGATTGATGCGGGGAACTCCAAGTTAGGTAGCTTAATCCGTGACCTAATGGCCTTGTTGTACCTCACTCCCGTCTTCAATTGGGTCTGCTCTTTTTTTTGAGAGAGAATATACCAATATGATCTTAGTGAGGTGCGGGCGCCCCTTAGAGGCGCATCGTTGTAACCTCAAACATTTTCGATCTTAATACAAAGATACGCAAGCCTTTAAGTATTCGAGAAAAACAAACAGTCTCCTTTTTCCCAAAATAAATATGTTTGGCGTCAATGTTGACTCATGTTCCACGTTTTGCTTTATTTTGAATTTTTTTCAATGAGCAACAATGGCGAAGCCTTTGATTTCTTCTTGGCTCATGATTTCTTTATGTATCCAGATTAGGACCTTAACAGATAAAGAAGAGCTGGTTTTGTCACTGGAGAGACAATATCAAGAGGATGTTGGTGTTCTAGCAGCACTCTTCTTTAACTACGTCAAACTTAGTCCTGGTGAAGCACTTCACATTGGTGCAAATGAGCCTCACGCATATCTCTCTGGGGAATGCATCGAATGTATGGCCACTTCAGACAATGTGGTCCGTGCTGGTTTGACTCCTAAATACAAAGACATACAAACTCTTTGCTCAATGCTAACATATAAACAGGTGAGTATCGATATTACTATCGTGTCACGTCTATATTACTTCCTTTATATTGTATACTTGTTCCACCTGTATGTATGTATTTGGCAAGTATATCCTCTGTGTTTACAATGTTGCCAGTGATCTTCTATCTGATCTATGATGTCGAACCTCACAATGCAAGTTAGTACCTAAGTTCACTAGCTAGGTCCATTCCATCTTTGGTGTTAAAAAATATATGTTTTAGTCTATAAGAGTTTTTTTAATCAAGTTAGTGAAGGCATATATTTTTGTAATTTGCTTCTTGAAAACTATGTATATTTTGCATGCAGGCATTCCCTGAAATCTTGCAAGGCGTTCCTGTGCAGCCACACGTAAGGCGGTACAGCCCTCCATTTGATGAATTCGAGGTGGATTGGTGCTTGGTACCTGCAGATGAAGTTGTTACCATATCCTCGGTGCCAGGCCCATCTGTCTTTCTCGTTATAACCGGGGAAGGAGAGCTCCACGCAGAGTCTCTGTCTGGTGGGAAAAAGGAGGCAAAGGAAGGCGATGTTTTCTTTGTCCCTGCATACACTGAGATTAACCTCTCTACCCATAAGTCCATGCAGCTGTACAGGGCTGGGGTAAACAGCAGATTCTTCAGTTAACTGTCTTTCGATCGCAAGTGGACTGCACTGTGATTGTAGGGCCTGTTACTGTTAGGCAGACAGATTAGAATTGGGCCTTGGGCCCTTGGGCTTTGACCGCATGAATGAATGTGGTTGGTAGATTCATGGGCATGTCATCCTATGGCTGTGACAGTCGTATAATAATGAATAAAACAATGCTCCATTATATATACTAGCCGTCAACGCACGGGGCACTATTACAAATATTATAAATGTTATAATTTTGGTCATATATTAAATCAATTGGTCCGTTATTATCTGAATTATAGTAGTTTGGCTTGAAAGAGTACTACATGTCAATGCAATTGCAGCTTGCTCTTTATTAATTTCATCTTTTAAAATTAAATTACTAAGGTAACATATTGAGAGCGAACGATGGGTACAGCTTCATATTCTTAATTTTGAGTCTCAGACACATTAAATTGTGGAGAAGCTAAACCTAAATAGTCCATGATATTGTACGAACAACATGTTTTATTAACATGGATTGTCAAATACGATCCACATGAATATAATATAGACGTTCATGGATTGATGACAAAGCCTATGCACCTTATTTTTCTCTTACCTTAAATCAATGTATTATATTAGAATTGGCATCTCAAGAAACTCTATTGGGATCAAGCTATTAAATCCATTTGTACTACTTGTTTTACAGTGTGAGAACATTTTTTTCTTCCCTATATCCCACTTTCACTTTGTCATATATACCGCAGTGTTTATATAAAGTTATAAGCATGCATATGAAAATAACATCAAATGTCAATCGATGATATTACTTTCTAAAACAAATTTAATTTATATTAGACTATCCTCGCAAAAAAAATATATTAGACTAACTATTTGTTATATATTTTAAGAGTTGAATCTAAAATAGTGTGCACGTTTTATTGGACTGAGGTAGTAATTAAGAGGGGCATTTGCAAATGTGCCACCGGTTTTTTCAATTTTGAAAGGATGCCACTCGAATGACAGTTCTAGTGGCATTTTTTTGCAATTTTCTAGTGGCAGTTTTAACGATTTAAAGTAGTGGTAAAATTCACAATTGCCCCTAATTAAGATTGTCGGTCATTACCTCGCTTTCAGATTGTGGGAACTCCATTTGGATTAAAAAATTAATAAACTAATTGCCTCTCATATGATAAATAAACAATTAATTAAGTCGTGTCTAGTATAGGAAAATTAATTCACCATAAGAAAACATATTTACCTGCGCAAATTATGACATGTACGCATCAAGAGATTGCTCTTGCTTGATTTGGTGAGAGGTGATGTTTTCCTTTGCTAACATGTGCTGGCATTGGAAACTTTTGCGCTTGTCTAAACAGTTGGGGAATTGAATTTTCAGATGATATCGCTGAATTGCTTGCTTCATCAATACATCAACTTATGTCAACAGAGGACTTAGGCAGTCTGCCTGCACAGAACATCGAGCGGAATTAGACACAGGAGACTCAGAATCGAAGGCAACCAAGCAATGCTATAGGATTGTTGAAGATAGCATAATAGTCCAACAGAAAATCACATGATAATGAGTAATGACTATTAAGATCGTTAGTTTAACTCTGCCTTTTGCGATTTGCCATAAAAGATCAATCATTAATCTGATTAATGAATCAATCTTACCAGGTTATATCGACATTGGTGGTTGGCCTGGAATCCAATCAACTCATCGGGGGTGATAGGGAGGTTATCGAGAAGGCAAGTTTGGCTCATAGTTAGCGACGACGGTGACCGCCTGGACCAGCCTGTCGTCGTCCTTCGGCAGAGCACAGAGTAGGGTTTTATTTTTTATTATGTCTACGCTGTTATGATTCGGTACCACACTGGTGTTTCTTTTTTTCTTGAGTACACGTGCTTTTAATTACATGTTTCAATGGGCTTTTAGTTGCACGTTTATTAATGGGCCTTTTAGCTGCACGTTAATTGTACGGTTAAGATAGAGCGATCAATCTAATCAATGGTTAGATCTTTCTGATTAACGTGGAAGCTCATAGAAAGTGCCCAATTAGTATAGGTGTAGATAAGGTGTATAAACTTTTAGAGTTATCAAGCGAGATAATCTTATTACTTTCATCGGCCGCAAGGCATAAGAGTTAGTCTAGAGACAATATTTGGCAATGGCAATTACTTGGTGCCAGAGGCTATGGTGCCTCCTCGTCCTAGACAATGGCGCTCGAACCTTTAGACATGACAATAACATAGCAATTCATTTTGCGATGCCTATAATTTTACGATGTTCTAACTTATATTGTGACTATATATCATTGACAATTGCTTATTTCTATAATTATACTAACTTACTCTATAGCGCACTAAAGTGATTTGTCACTGCGTACTAAGAAAAAATACACAAGTTTTATTTGGAATGTGCAATAAAATTATATTTGCACAAACTCCATTGGTTTTCTAAGGAATTGAGAGCATGATTGGAAGATGAAATTTGGACCAAACTAGGGTACTTTACACGTTTTATGTAAAGCTCCATTAAACTTCAGAGTGAATCATTGTCCTACGCGGTGTGGTGCCAAATCAACACCTAGGTTGTTTCCTGTTTTGGACGGAGAGAGTAGGCAGTACATATATAGTTTCCGTATTAGAAAATTATGGTCAAACTTCTGCATTACTAACTAAAGAAATCAAACGCAATATTTTTTACTGAAGGGAGTACTAAATTTAATCAAATGGTTAACTTTAGACATATATGCAGAAAATAATATATATATATATATATATATATATATATATATATATATATATATATATATATATATATATATATATATATATATATGCAGAAAATGTTAATTAAATCAATACTTGTGCGTGCTGTCTCATTTCGCTGAAAAGGGACCATTATCTCAATTTTTTTTACTGCACAATTCCCCTCAAATACTCCACCGCCAATTCTATAACACTTTCCCTCCAAAAACCAAATGTTACCCACACCTAACAACCTGCTAATCACTCTCCGCAGATTCCTACGCCATATAATCCCAACTAACCCACGACCTCCATTTTTCTTGGACGAGCTGGACTACCCACCAAACCACAACTCGCCTCTGAGATCAGATTCTTCATCTCCAATCTGAAATTCGCAACTGCCCCAGCCCTCTCTCTAGCTAGGGGCTCTCCTCCATCAAGACTCCTGAAGATCCAGATTCTCCTGACTGCTGTATCCTTCTTGCGTGCCCTTGACAAGTAGGGCAGAAGATTCAACATCTGAACCCCAAAAGGAGTCCATGGTTTGTGTGTCTTATCACCAAATTCTTGATGCTTATTTCTGAGAGATTGAAGAACTAGGGTTCAATTTCGATTCATTGATGTGTTCTCTGTTACACTAATTCTCTATGCACTTCATATGTTTGATGAAATGCTTGACCATGTACAGTTTCTGTTCATGGTGCCACCACTGCCTTCCCATCCCTGCCATATGAGGTCCATTTATCTGAGTTAAGATCACCGAGTTTTTAAGCAAGCTATTTCTTTCCTTTTAGGAAGAAGTAATGTGCTACTCTTTGGACTCTGGGAGATCCTCTGCCTAGCAGCATGTGCGTTGAAAAAAAGATGGTGGTCAGGCAAGAGGCATTTTGTCTAACTGAAAGCGCTTTGATTCGACCAATATTGTTACTAAATATGGTAGGATGATTCACTACTGTTTTTGGTTATGTTAGATTTTTTAAATATGGTTTTAAGTATATATGTCTATATTTCCTTTTGGATGAAAAATATTTCATTATATTCTCATATGTGAGTTTTGATATGAACCAAATGTAGCTATGGATCACATACGTATCCTAGGTCTCCTAATTATGGGCAATAAGTTTACTATCCTGATTACAGCAGGATTTGCATTGAGATTGCATTCAAAAGAAAAAACAATAGAAGATTATCGTGTTGAACGCACAGGCACCCTGAAATAATTTTAGGCAGGCAAGGTATCTGGGTAATCTTTGGCCATGCTACAAAAGCAAACAGGCAAGTCTGATATGTATGGTCTATCATGAAATGAGTGCCACTATCTTAATTGAGAGTTTAGTAATACTTATTGCATCAAAGCTCAGTTATAGCTTATAGGCATCCAAACTGTAGCTTTTCTCTTGCAGCTGCTATTTTAAAATCTCCTTTTACATTTAGCTGCAGCTAATTATTTTTTTTCCTTTCCTGGCAAGCGGCTAGAGTTCAAGCTCCAGGAAAAGGTCACATTTAGGCAAGTTCTACAGTCTTTCAGGTAATTGATCATTTGATTTCCTTGCACAAGAGACTGCACAGATTTATTGTGTGTATGTGGTGCCACTACCACTGCACAGAAAACTGTTGCATGGTATTATATTTACCAGTGCTGTAACTTTTGTCCATCTATATTTTAAGAGTTATTTCCATCAAGTACAATGTAGTTTTCACCATTTAACTGATTTATGAACTATGGGAATCAAAGGTCCAGAGAATATAATATTTGTTTGCTTGAGGCTTTCATGTATGCTTCTCCAACTGACAACATGTGATGTGGGATATGATATTGTGCCTTACTTCAATGTACAATACAAGTAAATACTTTATCCATTCAAATGCAGCTTGAATAATCAATAGTTTTTTTCAGCACGTATATATATTTATATATTTTCATTGCATTTTTGTATAATTGAACTGTCTGCAAAGCAATTGTTTTTTGTTAAGTATGAGTTATCCTTTTTAATATGAAAGGTTGTGTGTAATGGTCAATGGTTTGCAAATTGCAATGCCGCAAAATGAGAGCTGAGCCACATAGTCCATGTGCCATGATTTTCTTATCCACTCTGTAAGCACGTGCTCCTTTAAAAAATATTATATGGTTCAGCTTGATTAACATTTAATTTGTTATTTCCCTGAAAGTTAATTCATTATAATATGATGTTCTTGCAGAGTTTCTGTTTCCAACCTGCTAAATGCTGAACATAAAGACGAATAATCTAATTTTATTAGGTAGAAGCAATGAGACAACTGCAGTGGTTGAGATTCGAACTCATGTGGACAAGGAAATGTTCACTCCAGCTAGCCTATTCTGTTCTAATCCAGTGTATATTTCTGTTTGAGCTTTTTTTAGCCTCACTGTAGTTTGTGCAAGAAAGTTTTAAATGCCATATTCTATCTTTGAATCCAGGGAAAAAAAATCTTATTATTAACCTTCATTCAATTGCAGATGGCTGATAGGAGTTGTACTACCACAGGTAGGAGTTGTGAGAATGCTCATGTGCATACTAGGGAGTTATTGTTGCAAAATTAATTGATGGTTCAAAATTGACTTCTTATCAAGCATATATGCATTAAAAAGCATATTATCTTTCTCTTCCATGGTGTGTGGTTCCAAAGTTTAATAGGTTACCAATATGTGTTCTTTGCCAGTGCAGGATATCAGGATCAAAGTAGGTATTTATTCTGATCTGTATGGTGGTGGAGGGTAATTCTTCTAGGTCAACTGGTACCTTTCTCATTTTCAGAAAACAACAGTAATCACGATGATCATTTTTAGTGGTAAGAGTATCATCATTTTTACTCTTTTTTTTGCGAACCAGGCTCAAAAGAACATATTTCAGATGAGTAGGAAGCTTTGTTTTCTGATGGTCTGAAAGGTTAGCAGTTAGCCATTCTCTGCTTTCCCTTTACTAGACAAAAATAATATGAAACTCTTTACTATAAGATCTGTTCAAAATCAATTATAATAACCCAGTTTCTAATCTGAGGATGGAAACCATTAATAAATTATCTTCTCCATAGGATCAGCAGCAATCTTAATGAACATCAAGACAATTGACAATATGCCCATGGTAAAGAGTGCCGACTGATTGGCCTTCGTTTAGTGTACATTTGTAGTAGCTTTCTATAATAATAATAATGAACAACATATATAGTGAATATAGTCGGCCAACCTTTCGGCCGATCCAGTAAAATATATGGTGAATTTCATAATTACAACTGTGAATACTAAGAACAAATTTTCTATGCAGGTTCAAAAAGATCAATGGTTGAATTTCCACGGTTTAAGTGACTGCTCAAGAAGTTATCAAGAATTGGAAGAATGAATAAAGACTAGATAGGAATAGATATATTTCATATTTCTGCTAGTATTTTTTTTTGCTTAAGATGTATTTCCTCCATTTAAAAGACATGCTTACTATGAAATGATGTAAAAACAGTACTTCCTACAAATTTTGTTATGGTAATGCAATATATTACGATCAGTTCACTATACTTGTGATTATTTATCCATTGTGTATATGTGGTTATGCCTATTTCTTTTTTGATGTTCTAAAACCTCCAAACCAGAATGTATTAATAGATGTATTCTTTTCTTAAATGTATTAATAGATGAAATGTCTTGCCGGTTCATATGTAGTTATGTTACAATATGTAAAAAAAGGTGTTACAAATATGTTGCTAGATTTAGAAAATGATATCACTAATAGTGTTGGTATAGTTAACAAAAGGTGTCACTATGGCCTATAGTAACACATAAATATGTGTTGCTATAGAATGGATGTAACACTTTTCCAGAAGAACACCTAGATGTGTTACAACAGACTGAACTATTGTAACATAGACTATTGTAACCGTTAGTAAATGTGTTACCCTATACACTTGTAACACTTTTTCCAATATATTGTAACAGAAATTCCTGTTACTATAAACCTGTACTGACGTAGTGGCGGCCGCGGCTCGGCAAGCGGCTCGACTCTAGGGTTAGGGCAACGACACATGACATAGATGATAGGAACAGAAAAACATAGCCCTAAAAGGACGGAAAACCTCACCGGAAAACAACGGCGGGCGGAGGGAGGACGACGGCGGCGGCGGTTTCGGCGGCGAGCTCGGGATCGACGACGACGACGCTAGAAAATATTGAATGGTTAAGTTAGATAGATGAACCAATGGTTGCAGCTGCAAACCCATTAGTGGAGAGGGAGAACGGAGTATCGGCGACGCTACAGCGGCGACGGCGACGGCAACCGGCGGCGGCACAGGGGCTAGGCGGCAGCGCATGGCTCGACTAGGGCTGCGGGCGGCAGTGGCTAGCTCGGGTGGGGGCTAAAACTATTGAGTTGGAAAAGGAAAAAAACAAGGGGAGGGATTACTTATATAGGGGAGGATTAGATTAGGAAAGGTGGAATCCTAGTGGGAGTAGGATTGGGAGAGCGGAGGGAGTCCGACTCGGCTGGGGAGGGGTGGCGCGTGCTGGGGAGGGGGAGAGGGGGCGCACGGCCGGCTGGAGAGGGGGAGGGGAAAAAGGAAAAATGAGAGGCCTAGGACTTTCCCAAAAAGGAAAATCAATGTGGTGCCGTTTTAGGGAAAGAACAGAAACGGTCCCGCGAACGAAAACGGATACGGTTCGCTAAGCAAAACGAAACCGCGGACTAAGAGGGGAGTGAATTGGGCACAATTCACGACCAAGGGCAAAGGATGAAACTACTATTAGAGAGATCTTGACACTTTTAAACTTAGCAACACTGCATCTGGTGTTCTGATATTTACTCTTCAAGTCCTGTTAGTGATTTTCAGATAAAAGAAATTGTAAAAAAATTCTCCCTGACAATTCCAATTATTATATGTGTTGTTAACTGGGGTTTTTCTCTTGGTTAACCAAAGCAAATTCTTGAAGCCATTTATTAGTGATTTGGAACCTAAGGGAAGGGAAAACTCCGGGTGTCACAACCATGCAACAACAAGACTACTCACGAATCAAGATAAAAATGGAGAGAGAGCTCCACGAGGAGGGAAGAGGTGTAGAGTTGAAACACTATTGGAGAAATGCTTAGGAGTCCTGGTTGGTAACCCCTGTAGTCCCGGTTTTCCAACCGGGGCTACGAATCCGGGACTAAAGATATTTTTTTGGCCATATTGCCTACTGCATGCATCTATATTTCATTCATATATATATATATATATATATATATATCTAATTAAAAAATATGTAAGGTTTCTGGAGGTTTTTTTGTCCGTCATCCCGATCAAGTTGCCAAAATCCATTTTTAATCCGCTTAATAGTCGGATCGGACCTTTTCCAATCTAATCCAAAACCTCAGTTAATATACAGTATGTATCCGCTCATGTAATCACCAATCACAAGAAGCATCTTGCCTACTTGGTTAGTGGAGAAAATCTTTGACCTCCCCACCAGGGTTTGATTCCCTCCACCATTTCCTTTTTACCCCTATTATTACTTGGCCTCTCTCATGCTAGATTGCTCGGAATAAGTCTACTTTGCCTCCCACATCTCAAATCCTATTATTACTTTGCCTCGGAATAAGTCTACTTTGCCTCCCACATCTTAAATCCAACTCGGAATGAGTCTACTTTGCCTCCTAAATCTCAAATCCTATTATTACTTTGCCTCTTGCTAGATTGCTGCCCAATTTTTTTTCTCTCCGCCACTAGCACGTTAGTGATTCTGAAATATTATAATCAACCAATTTTTTAATTTTAAAATTAAGCATAATTATTTTTTTTCTTTTCGTCATCTGCAAAACACGACATATTATGGTCCGCGCCATCTATTTGTATCTCTTTCTTCAACATATATTTAGTGATTCTGAAATCTTATAATGAACCAGTTTTTAATTTGAAAATTAAACATAATTATTTTTTTCTTTTTGTCATCTGCAAAACACGACATATTAGAGTCCGCACCATCTATCATCCACGCATGAGCCGTGAAAACGATTCATCTCCACGCAAGTCCGTGTTCAATTTTAGAAATTATATCAAGCGCTTGCCGTGCATCTGATGGCTGAAAAATCAAAAGTTTTGCACCTCTTTCTTCAACAGATATTTAGTGATTATGAAATATTATAATGGACCATTTTTTAATTTGAAAATTAAACATTTTTTTCTTTTTGTCATCTGCAAAACACGACACATTAGAGTCCGCACCATCTATATATCGTCCACGCATGAGCCGTGAAAACGATTCATCTCCACGTAAGTCCATGTTTGATTTTAGAAATTATATCAGGCGCTTGCCATGCAAGAGTTGAGAGAGAGCGTGTGTTATGACAATATGAGTATATCAATATGCAATCGTGTTTCTTATCGGTCCTGATTATCATTAACCCAATAAACAATTTATCTATCTTAAAACATTATTATATACATGTTAACTGTATATTTATAGCATTTACTATGTCATTATATCCGTAGCAAAGCACGAACATTTTGCTAGTGTATATATATATATATATATATATATATATATATATATATATATATATATATATATATATATATATATATATAAGCTGACAAGACATTACACCACATCATTTTGAAGGGCTTCTAATCTGTCTGGATCGATGACCTTCTGCGAAATTGCATTTATGAAAGCACATAGCTTTGTTATTGCTGCCCGGACATTGTCAGGGAGAATACCTCGAATTATAATAGGGAGCAGTTGTGTCATTAACACGTGACAGTCACGAGACTTTAGGTTTGTGAACTTCTTATCCTTCGTGCTTATTATTCTCTTTATATTAGAGTAGTATCCAGACGGTACCTTGATGCTCTCCAAGCATTCAAACATATTTTCCTTCTCTGCCTTGCTCAGGGTGTAGCTGGCTGTACTCAAGTACTGGCTTCCTGATCCGTTGGTTCCGGGTGGAGGTCGTCGCGCTGGTTCATATGTTTGAGATCATTATGTGCTTCAAGTGTATCTTTCGACTTCCTATATACACCTAGGAAGCCCAACAAGTTGACATAGAGGTTCTTGGTGAAGTACATCACGTCGATTGCGTGACGGACGTCCAACACTTCCCATTATTCTAACTCCCAAAATATAGACTTTTTCTTCCACATCGCCGTGTAACCATCTTCGCCTGCTGTGGGTTGGCTGCTAGGTCCCTTTCCAAATTCAAATCTTTCACCATAGCAAACACGACTTTACTGTTTCGATGCCTTGGCCTAGTACGGTGGTCCGCCTTCTGTTCAAAATGCTTGCCTTTCTTCCGGACAGGGTGGTTTGCAACAAGAAATCGATGATGGCTCATGTACACAACCTTCTTGCAGTGCGTCAGATACGTACTTTCAGTGTCTTCCATACAGTGGGTGCTAGCGTTGTACCCCTTGTTTGACTGTCCAGATAGGTTGCTAAGTGCAGGCCAATCGTTGATGGTTACGAACAGCAGGGCTCGTAGGTTAAATTGTTCCTGTTTGTCCTCGTCCCACATAGGGACGCCTTCTTTCTTCCACAACAGTTTCAGATCGTCGACCAGTGGTCTTAGGTACACATCAATGTCATTACCAAGTTGCTTTGGGCCTTGAATAATGTAATGCCCCGATTTTCATTCGGGATTAAAATAATTAAATAACATATTTTCCAAAAATTAAATAAAAGTTAAAGCAATTTAATCAAGTGAAATTATGGGAGAATTAAAATTTTCCCTTAAAAATCATGGCCGAGAATATTTTGTAATATTCTTTGTGCCCTAAAATACTCTCTGAAATTTCCCGTGAATTTTCGGAGCTCAAAGAAGTATTTTTAATGGCACAAAGATCATTAAACTCATTTAAATAAAAAGAAAAGCAAATTAAACCTTCTCCCTCTCCTTCCTTGGGCCAGGCCCAAGCCTTCCTCCCACTCCACCGGCCGCCCTCCTCTTCTCCTCCTTCCTTTGGGCCGTCGGCCCAGTTGGCCCCCCTTTCTCGCGGGAAGTCTGTTTCACCTCCCTCCTCTCTCCGAGCCGCTGACAGGTGGGTCCCACCTATTGGGCTCGCCTCCCTCCTCCAGCTAGGTCATGCCGCCCACTCCCTCTTGCGGAAACCGCCCACGCCACCACCCTTCTCGTGCCCCCTCGCGCCTCTCTCTCGCGTGGACCGGTTGCCACCTCTCCCCTCCATCTAGCGCCGCCCCGCGCCCATTTCCTCCCCTCCACTTCTTCCCCCAAAAACCAGCCGCCACCACCCCCGGTGCCGCCGCCACCACCTTGCCGGTTGCCACCCCAATCGGCCACGATCCTGCCTCCCCTCCCCTATAAAAATGCTCACCGCACCTCCCTCTCCCTTTTTCCCCATTTTCCCGAGCTCCTCGCGCCCTCTTCCGCGCTCTCCACGCTGCTCCCCATCGCCGCCACTCTCCGGCGAACTCCGGCCGCCGTTTCCTGTCACTAGGGCCACCGCCGCACTGCTCCGCCGTCACCGCCAGCTTCGCCGCATAAAGGGCAAACTCGGCCACCGGTCCTTCCTCCCCTTCCACCACGCGAACCACCTCCCCACCAAGCTCCCTCTCTCTACCACTCACCGTCGAACATTGGCCGCGCACTACCGCCTCCCTAGCCGCCTCCGCGTTGTGCAGCCGCCACCATCAGCATCGCCGCACCTCCCCGCACATCGGCCACCGCTTCTTTTCCCATCTCCACCCCCGAAACGCCAATTCCACCGTCAACCCGAGTCCTCGCCGCCCACGCCGCCTCCATCAGCTTCCCGCCGGCGGGTGAAGCCTCGCCTAGCCGTGCTACCGCCTCCAACGGCATCGCTGCGTCCCACCGTACCTTGGCCACCACTTCCCGTCGCCGAAAACCCGCCGAACATCCGTGATCCCGCGCCGCTGCCGCTCGTCCGCTCCTTCCCGAGCGCCGCCGTCGCCGGAGCGTCGCCACCCCCCTCCACCGAGCTTCGCCGGCGCCTCCCGACCGCTCGCCGCCGTGCTCTCCCCGCCGTCGGCCCCTCAACGAGCACTCCCCTCCTTCTCCCTCTTCCTCCCCTTCAACGGCCTCCTCCCGGGCCTGCTCGCGACGCGCCGCTGCCGTCGGTGGCCGTCCGGCCGGGTCGCCGCCGCCGCGCTCCGCGCCCGCGCCGTTGCCGGCTATACCGGGCAGCCGGCTGCCGCCTCCCCTTGCCACGCCGCGCCTGCCCGTGGCCGTCCGATCTATCGCCCCGATCGATCCGGGCCGTCCGCATGGCGCCTCTCCTGTGCTGCCCGTGTTGGTGCCCTCATGGCGCCACGTCGGCGCCACCTCGCCTTGCCTTGCTGCCGTGGCCGCCACGTGGCCGTCCACGTGGTGCGCCCGCGCCTATGCCGCAGTGGACCGAGTCCACCGTGGGCCGCTCCTCTTGCGTCGCTGACTCATGGGGCCCGCCTGTCGGCGTCGCCCTTTGTTGACGTCAGCGACGGCCCTTTTTCTTTGAAAGAATAAATAATAATTGTGCAATAATTCGGTTGAATTATAGAAATTCAATTAAATAGCTCAAAACTTCTAAAATTCATAATTAATTCATACAAACTCCAAATTGAGCCGTTCAACTTGCAAAATTCATCTAAAATTGAGCTCTACATGTTTGTTTACTTTTCATGTACTGTTTACTTGGTTTTTATTAGAGTGTTTTCTCATTTTGCGTGCCAGCGTGTAGTTTCCACCGTTTTGGAAGTCCGCGAGCGCGAGGATCAGTGTACGGAAGATTGTTTTGAAGAAGCAAGGCAAGTCACACATTCCCCTTGAGCATTTTGATCCTACTTTACAAATGTTTTACCGTTTGCAAATAAATATGCTTGTTTTGCTAATTACATGGGAATAGGGTTTACCTATCTGCTCGCTTGTGCCATATTATTTGATATCTGTCCTTTGTCAACCTTGGGTGATAAATCGACTAGCGTGAGTTACTATGTTGACCTAGCTAGAACTATTTGCTTAGCCATGCTTAATTGCCACTAGCTCAGTTGATGTGATAATTGCAGTATTAGACATTTTTAGTATCAGAACGAGTTGCGTGCTCGAGACATCCGACCATGTCATTGGTCGTAATTATCCAACTAAAATGCAATTGAATGGTGGGCTGTGGGTGCATGGTTTTGCTGGTCTCACCCATGGTAATTAAGGACCGGTTCGCGGGATGCACTGGAAGACATACAACGCTTGCCACAAGCGGGAATGGGTAACTGCCTGACTTGAAGTATAGCTTTTCTCTGGCTGACGCATCCAGGCAAGGGTGAGCGTGATGGAGTTCGGATGGGCCCTGCGACGGCCTATGCGGCTTTCGGATTCGCCTAGGCACGAGAGGGGACTGCCCGCTGCCTGTTGAGTAGTGGGGGTGAAACCTGAGGTGTGGTGTGCTTGGTCAGAGGGGGTTATATGAAGGGTCTTGTCACAATCACTCGACATGGTGACGTGTCCGGCCGGGCACGGTGACATGCCGGTGGATTTTGTCCTGTGGGTACAGTTGTGCACCTCTGGCCAGAGTAAAACTATTCGAATAGCTGTGCCCGCGGTTATAGGAGATCAACCAGAATCACCGTGATTAGTCTCACCCTTAATAAATCGACTCAATGCACTGTAGTTCAGGTGGGATGGTTGGGCCTGTTCAACGTGGTGTAGCGTTGATCAGTAGAGATTTAAGGTTAACTTAATTAACCAAATGTTTTAATGTTTGCTCAATAAAATGCTTTACAACCGCCTTTATGCAAATAGTCACAAGCCATCCTTGAATCCCCTTGCACGTCTACATCATTGGTGTGGCTTGCTGAGTATAGTGGTTGTACTCAGCCTTGCTATTGTTCCCCCTTTTCAGAAGTGTAGTGCTTCTGAGCTGAAGACGAAGTTAGAAGACCAAGGCTCAGACCCCAGTTGAGTTCTGCCTATGGAGTGGAGCTGAAGCCCCGCTAGGATTGCCTTTTTCCGCTGCTGCTGCTTTTGTTTCGGTGTGAGGACTAAGTGCCTTTTTTGTACGTATTTTACGCTTGATTTACGCTTGGAACTGTATATTACTTGTCGTTTTGTGTACCCTGGCTGAATCCTGGACAGGGATTTAATACACAAAATAGTCTGGAAATTTGGGCTGAATTTCTAGGCGTGACAAATAATAATCAGCATCGTGATGTACTTCCTCTTCATGCATAGCTAGGGGGGAGGTTGTAGATACACATCGTAACAGGCCAAGTGCTATGGCCGCTGCTCATCTTTTCAAATGGATTCATGCCATCCGTACTTAAACCGAACCTTACGTTTCGTGCATCCTCTCCAAAGTCTTGAAATGTTCTGTCATGTTTCGCCACTACGACCCATCGGCGGGGTGTCTCAGCATCCCGTCTTGTTGATGTTTTTCTGCATGCCAGTGCATCATTCTTGCATGCTCTTATAGGGAAATATCACATCACCTTATCAGGAACTCTCTTCTTCGAAGGCTATCCGTCAACTTCACTTGGATTATCTCGTCTAATCTTGTATTGTAGTGCTTTACAAACCGGGCATGCTTCTAGGTTCACGTACTTCTCACCGCGATAGAGGATACAATCGTACGTCTATCTTATGAACCTCCTGTCCTAGAGGGCAGACTGTCTTCTTAGCTTCGTATGTTGTTTCGGGCAACTTGTTTTCCTCCGGATGAATGTTTTTTACTAGTTTCAATAAGTCGCCAAATGCCTTGTCACTCACACCATTTTTTCCTTCCAGTGCAAGAATTCCATAGTGGTACCCAACTTTTTGTGCCCCTGTTCGCAACCTAGGTACAATGACGTCTAGTGGTCTGCTAACATACGCTCCAATTTCTGGGCCTCCTTTTCACTTTCGCAGTCCTCCTTAACATCCTGCGGCATCTGACCAAGATCATCTGCAGCGTCATTATCTTCAACAGCCCCGTCCACCTCGCCCTTTGTATTTCCTTCAAATCCACCGTATTGAGCCCAGTCCGGAATGTTCTCATCTTCTGCTTCATCTTCTTCCATTTGAACCCCTAGCTCTCCGTGCGAGGTCCAACAATTATAGCTCGCCATGAAACCCGTCTCAGACAAGTAAAAATTAATTGTTCTTATTGAAGAATACTCCTTCTGGTTTTTACACTTAGTGCATGGACAACGGATAAAACCATTCTGCTTGTTAGCCTCGGCCACTCTAAAAAAAATAATGCACGCATTCAATAAAGTCTTTCGACTATCAGTCCGCGCGCATCCATTGCCGATCCATCTACATTAAATGCACCAAAAAAACATGAAAAATAATCCACGAAAGTTAAACCAATTAAACAATTATACAATAGTTATATATAATTATTCATACAATAATTAGCAAATAATACCACATATTATTCATGTTTTAATTACATTTAAAGTTGCAAACAAATTAATATTTAATGTGTTGTACCTATATTAATTTTAAATTAACTTAGTTTTCTATTTTTTAGATTAATTTTCTATCTTTTCTTCCTCATCTCTTTTATCACAAGTTTTTATAAAATTCTATAAATACCTACTTTCTATATTCTTTCTTCCCTACACAAACTTTCTCTCTCAACATTTTCCATTCAAAGTTTCTAGAGGCAAAAATGTGTAGAAAACTTATCTCTAAATATAAATGCTAAGCAAAAAAATAGAGGAGGTTGAAGTTGCTAACCTTTTAGACACGTCAAAATTGTATATTTTCACTAAACCAAATTCACAAAAAAAAGGGCAGCACCTCCCCTCCTCCTCTTCAAAAAATAAAGCCCTGCTTAGGCTAGAGGAGAAAAAAGATCAACATATGGGCATGCTAACTTTAGTCCCGGTTGGTGTTACCAACTTGATCACACCAACCGTGACTAAAGATCCCCGGTGCTCTGACAATGTCTGACAACCGGCGAACCAGGACTAAAGATCATCTTTAGTCCCAGTTTTTTGGTGAACCGGGACTATGATGAAATTTGGCCGACCGACCAAAGATCGTTTTTCCAATAGTGAAAGGAAAAAAAAAGGCTGAATGGCTACAAGTTGGCACCTTGGTATATCAGCCATTCGGCCGTAGAAATTTGTATGCCCGTATAATGACCAATTCCATATGTATAAGGAAATACGATCTGATCGTTTTGATGAGATATTTCATTTGCTGGTTTAGTTCTTAATTTTGTGGTTATGTTTCAACTTTCAACCAAACAATATATATTTGTTGATGTCCTTTAGCCTTGTTGTGAAGTTGCAATTAGAAAGGAGACCTAGAGTTCAATTATTGTTTAAAATGTCTGCCATTTGTTTTTTGTGTGAGTAATCCAATTAAAAGTGTTGCTAATTCATCTTTCTGGATATATGGGGTAATAAGGTTAAGCCTAGAACTACACATACTAACATATTCCGTGCCGAATGGTTCAAAATGTGTTAATTACCTCTAATGTGTCTTCGTTGGCCCTGTGGTTCCTAGGAAGTCTTCGGAAGTCCTCGGTTAAGCTGAGACACTCCTTAACATTCTCGGGTGATACAAAATCCACGGCAATCTTGGTACAGGACTGCAACGTAGCATTAATAAGAAATTAGCTACAAAAACATGTGAAACTTGGCAAGTATTTCAACCCAGTTCTCAAGTATCCAGTGCTGCAAGAAATCACGGTACTGAAAGAGTACACTGAAAAAATTAGGGTAAATACCCAACATGATCCTTGAACTTTCGCTTAAGGATCAATTTAGTCCCTGACATTTCATATTGTCCAAACAAGTACCTTAAGTTTATTGTGTGATTCAATATAGTCCTTAGACCCTCTACACATGCCATGTGTACATGCCACATCATCTATGCATGCAAATTCAATATTTAAATGTCCTTTACACCCTTATGTTTTCATAGGAAATAAAGAAAAACTATTGAGAAAACACACAAAAAAAAAGCTTTTGACCATTGGCAAAAATATGTAGCATTGATAGATAAAAGAATTGACATTTTTCTTTGTTTTATGATTGCTTCTTCTTGTTTTTCTTTTCTTTATTTGATAGAAAATTGAAGGTTAAAATGGACATTTAAATGTTATCTTACATGCACGAATGACGTGGCATATCCACGTGGCGTTTTAAGTGGGTCTAAGGACTATATTAAGCCGCATGATAATCTTTAGGGTCTTGTTTGGACACTATAAAACATCAAGGACTAATTCGACCCTTGAGCAAAAGTTGAAGGACTAAACTGGCTATTCACCCTTAAAATTACCTTAAGATTCCGTACTTGATGAGGACACCCAACAGGAATGAAAACTTCCTCCCCAAGTTTTTGTACAAATGTCCAAGGCTCGATTCCTAAATGAGCATATCAGGATTTCAAACACTACTAGAAAAAGCATTTTCGCCGACGTTGGCAAATCATTTTCGTAGGTATCGAGTGAAAACCTCGCCGGCGAAAACTAGAACCGGGGAGGAGTTGGCCGGCCGCCTGCGAAGATTGGTTATCGCAGGCGGACCACATAACGGTGAAAACCGATCTTCGCAGGCGGACGCCTTATGTGCGCCGCCTGCAATAATCACAGGTGGGCGACTTATGTGCTCCGTCTGCAAAGATTTCTTTTCGCAGGCGCCCGTTATGTTGTCCGCCTGCGAAAATTGAACTATAAAGTCATCTTCCTCCCCGAGCCCTGTTTATTCTATCCGATGTTTCTCTCTCCTAAAGCAACTAAAATGTAGAGGGAGGTTTTGAACTTCAAATCTTGGGGGGATTTTTCTACGGTGGTTAGATCTACTCATTTCCACTCTAGGTATGCATTTTTTTAAGCTTTTAGACCTCAATTTTTGATGGATCTATGCATGCAAATTTGTGAAGGAAAAGCTCCATGTTTTTTTATTTACTTTCTTTTGATATGTTGCTGTTTGATATATGTGCAATATTTGATGCCTCTTGTTGTAGTGGTTAATGAGCTAATATAAATTCCCAATTTTTTTTTTATTTTGCTATCACATCCACCTCCTAGATCTAGACATATATATGGGAGAGAGAAGAAAATTTTTTATGTCTATTTATTTGGTCCATTAAAAAAATTAATTGTATTATGTTTAATATGCCGATGATATGATTTTGTTAGATTTTCCTATTATATTAATTTGGTATGTCTCTATATACCAAATTGAAATAAACTTTGTTTTTGATAAATTTATAAATTACCTTCCCTTAGTTATGAATAGTGCTCTCTTATTTTTAGTGAACCCTAGAATTTTGGTATGAATAGTGCAAATATTTGTCATTCATTTTTTGTAGGGATATGGACAGGCGGCAATGGATGTATCATTCGCCGAGGTATTTGGCTCCATATAGAGATTAAGTGTCTAAATTTATTGGTATTACGAAGGCATACGCTGAACAGAACAATATGAGAAAGATACTTTGTCCATGTGATGATTGTAAGAATGAAATAGCCTGGGAAGATGTTTCTAAAGTAATGGAGTACTTAGTAACTCGTGGATTTATGGAAAAGTACGAAATATGGACACGTCATGGCGAACAACAAGTGGACAGGCCTGAAAAGTAGTTCCGACAGAAGTTGAAGACATGGTGTACGGCGATGGTTGTGGTGAGAACAAAATTGATCTAGAGGAAATGTTACGTCATGCAGAACCTGAGGTGCTGATTGGGTCGGCTAGAGGTTTAAATAACTTTGAAGCTTTACAGAAGGCAGCTAAGGAAGTTTTGTACGATGAGTCAAATGGCTGTGACAGTGAGTTCTCAATACTACGGTCAGTTCTTGAACTTATGAGGTTAAAGGTGAGACATGGATGGTCTGATAGTAGTTTCGACAGTCTGCTTGAACTTCCGAAGAAAATGCTTCCAAGGCCTAACTCATTACCATCCAACACGTATCAAATGAAGAAACTCATATGTCCCCTTTCACTTGGTGTGGAAAAGATTCATGCGTGCGTTAATCACTACATACTGTACAAGAAAGAGTACGCTTCTTTGGATGAATGTCCAACATGCGGTGCTAGCCGGTACCAATCGAATAGCAATACTTTCCTAGAAGCATCTGACACATTCGAGTGAACTAAGAGAAACATCTTGCAGCTTGTGATGTGGTACCTTCCTGTCAAAGACCGCATTAAACGGATATACTCAAATCCGCGAGATACGGAACTAATGTGCTGGTATCAAGAAGGGCGCAAGAAAGATGGGATGCTTTGACACCCGGCATATGCTAGTCAGTAGATAAATTTTGATACTCAGTAAAGAGAGTTTGCTAAAGAGCCACGGAATATTAGGTTTGCCCTGAGTACTGATGGAGTTAATCCTTTTGGAGACATAAGCAGCTCGCATAGTACTTGGCCAGTGCTTCTTGCCATGTATAATCTTCCTACCTGGCAAATGATGGATTTTTGCGTCAGGCATCTTATTTTGCCCGACCCCGCAACCAAAGAAACTGAGCCAGATTACCCCTTCGATGACCTGAAGGAGAATACACCCTGTAAGTTGCACGTTCCAATTGGATGCTCTGGAAGAACTCTTGAGGCCGCTACAGGAATTGCTATCCCTGGCAGAACATATAACGAAGAGTTCATATCCGATGAGTATGCCAAAGTGCAGCCGCAAGTGGTCCACCAAGGGTTTGAGTCATACGATATCGACATCCCTACTCCTAATGGTGTATCCTTACTTGGGGATGAGGTCGATCTTATAATTCTTTGGCACAAGAATGACATATTCTTTGGATTGGGCACCGGCGCCCCGTGAAAACCGGGGGTGCAAAAACCGAGGGTGCAAAAACCTCCGAGACCTCCTCCGAAGAAGCAGGTGACTGATAAGGCGGAATAACCCGAGATGCCTAAGGAGATTTCAATGCCGGAGGTGTCTGAGGATATTTCAGTGCCGGAGGTGCCTAAGGAGATTTTAGTGCCGGTTGTGCCTGAGGAGATTTCAGTGCCGGAGGTGCCCATGGAGATTTCAGTGCCACAATCAGATGTGCAACTTCTGGCAACAGTCAGTACAGATATTGAAGTTATACCAGGTTTAGAATGGGACGGTACAGAGCCAGAAATCTTTGAAGACCCTAATCATGTGAAAGACCTCGAGGTGGAAGAACCCCCGGTCAATGACAAGGCCACTGACAAGTCTGAAGTGTCTAGAGTGCTTAGGAGCCACAACTCCAAGTCCAAAGATGATCAAAAGGAGAAGTTCATGGTATCCGCCTTCAGAGGGGGCAAGGAACATGCCAAGCTCAGAGAAGATGACCCCAAGAAGGCCGCTGAACTAGCCGGGAAAAAAAATACTTTGCAACTGATGACTACCTGGAAAAATACCAACATAGGAAAGCAATATGGCCGGATTTTGCACTTGAGGACAGTCCATGGGAGATGACAAGGTTACATAAATGGTACATGGACGCCAGCAAGAAAGGCCTAAGTAATATCGTCGATGGGAGATGCTTTGCCGCATGATGCTTTTGTCGGCGATGGTTACTTCTAGCTAGATTTCGAAGATCTCCGCACCCTATATCGTCGAGAAAAGATGGACGTCAACTATATCGGTGCTTGGTGCATGTAAGTATGAGTTTACATTAATTACACGAAAAATATGTACAATACAAAACCATGTGATTATTACTAACAAACTTCGTTTGTAGGATGCAATACATGGATGCTAAGAAGAAAAAAGAACCTATCGGATTCCTGGATCCAACTAGGATCTGTCAAACATAGCATACCGTGAGGCTAGCACCAGGGTCAGCGCAGCTGAAGGACAAGACTCCTGAAGAGATAGCTGAATACAAGAAGGGCTTGCACAAGCAGAAAATGATTACTGTCGCACAGTACATTGAACGAGCCTTCTTGCACTTTCAAAATAAGAGAGTCGTCCTGGCCGATTATAATTTTAAGTAAGTCCGGTAGTATATGTCTTATTTTATCCGTGACTAACTACACTGTCGTTAATATGTAGCGATCATTACATCTGTTTAATCAACTACCCGAAGCATGGAATTGTGACAGTCTTGGATCCTCTCAATTACCGTCATGAGTCATACAAAGAATTTCTAACAATCTTAAAATAGTAAGTGATTCTGGCACTTGCATGTCTAATATGAATGTATTATAATTAGATATCCTCCTTAATGCGAAATGGTACAAAATCCATACAGTGCGTACAACTACTACAAGTTCAAGGGTGGAGAACATATTCGAACAAGGGAGAAGCTGCTAGTACATACATATTGGCCGGTAATACTCCACTCACTTAACGTATTCCAATTGTTTCACTAATTACAAAATTTAACTATTTTCTTCTATGATATGTCATGAAGTGTCACAAGCAACCTAGAAGCACTGCCCTCTGTGGGTATTACGCGTGCGAATTCCTCAGGGTTAATGGGAGGTACACGGTTAACGCAAAGGATGTAAGTCTCTAGACTATGGACTAGACAACTTCACATATAGATGATACTAATATATTGTGCTTCTTCCATGCATGCAGTTGCCAAGAATAGAACATCGAACAAGCTTTGACGATACAGACATCGCAAATATCCAGCGCGATCTTTGCCACTTCATCCACCATGAGTGCTATCATGTGGACGGAAAGTTCTTCGACCCAGAGGGTGCCCTAGCTACAAGTGACGAAAACAAGAATCTTTGGGAGTGGAGCAATGCTATGCCATAATGTAATTAGATAGCGTACTTCAAGTGACAATGTAAAAAAATATTGTAATATTTTGACGACACTTTTCACTTATGCAATATATGTAGATTTCTCAGTATCAAAAGCTTGTTATTTACTAATATTATTCATGCATCAATTATAATTAAATAATTGAAAAGTAATTTATGAGCTAATTATTATTGCATCAAATTTCAAATTTTTGTATCTATCTTCGCAGGCGGCATTTTCTTACTTTTGCAGGCGGCCGTTCTCTATTTTCGCAGGCGGCCCGTCTAGCTCCATTCCGCCTGGGAAAATTAACTTCAAATGCGGACCTCCAGCCCGCCAGTGAACTTTGGGCTGCAGGTGGACCGGCCGTCCGCCTGCGAAGACGAGTTTCCCCCGCCGGCGAAAATGCTTTTTCTAGTAGTGAAATAACCTTTCAACGCAACCATTTGCTATACAAATAATTATTACAAATCCACAACATCACATTAACAGATAAAGGAACTCACCATGCTCCTCTTTGAGCTTTCTCTTTTGTTCTTTTGTTAGACAAAATGTTTCATCATGTACAGGGTTACATACCTTCAAAAAACATAACGTGGCATTAAGCATGATGGTCAGAAGTGCAAGGTTGTTCATTAATCACGCCCATACTTACCTTTTGAACTGCAGAACAGTATATATGGCGAAATTTCTTAGAATGCTTGTCAAGGTACAATTTCAGTTTTGGAACATCTTCCCTCCTAAAAATATCCCATAAAGCACCTTCCTCGGCGGACTCACTTTTTATAGGACAGGCCAAGTCATTTGCATCCTCACAGATTTTAGATGTATAATTTTCGCCTGATGCAGCATTCCCTCAACACTCATTTTCATTCTGCGTTGTATATATGTCTTCTTTTCAAGCTTTTTATTGCGTTTATTTGTTCCTCAGAAGGGTTAACTTCGGCAGTATGCATCAAAACGTTAACCTAATAAAAAGCCAACATATGTTTAGATGAATAAACAAAACAAGATGCCAGCGTTGTAGGCTAACAATTTCACTGTGGGGAAAAGTATAGTTAGGAGCTGGTATAATCAACTAGCACGGTAAAAGCTGGTAGTACAAAGAGCACTGTGGGCTCAGTGTTGGAGTTACAAGAAAAAAATGTTCTCTGGTAAATAAGGATGCAGATTCTCATTTTGCATACCACAGTTAGTTTTAAAGAGTAACAAGTCTTTAAAGAACATGAGTTGCTCAAGGCCTCTTTATGAACTTATGAACTATAAATGGGACCAAAGTAATATAACAAACGACTTACTGCATCAGACAAATCGCAGTGAAGTTTTGTAACAGAATCTCCTCTACCAAGCTCCTGTGCATAGCCATAAGCTATATATGATTTTGGTCCCATGTCAAGCTTTAAGATGTCATCAGGAAGCAATGTTGAGACATTCAGCAAACCAGACTTCAAGTTTGTGTATGCTTGAAAAGGCAAAGAATTGATGTATTTAACTCCATGAGAAGGCAAAAGCTCTTCAAAATGGTTTGAAATAGGCCAGTCATTCAATTTAAGCATTTCAGGCCATAGATTTTGATACATCCGTCCTTCATAATACCCATTGAAGAAGTGCTGAGTGCATAGAGAGAATATTACTTTTGTTTTCTTTTTTCTATATTATATGATAAATAAAAAATAACAATAAGTGCACTGATGGGGACCATATGCATTCATTTGTCGTCGTTAACCACTATTATAATAGAGTTTAAAAAAACTGTTTGAAGGTTATCCCTAGTAAAATACATGCTCCCTTCGAAATGTGTTTACTATATATAATTTCACATTATCAGATAGACAACTATAAAAAATGAAAATTATAGCTCAATATAGTAAAAAATTTTCTGGCAAATGAATAACACGTGAGACTAAACTCCAAAAATTTCTAGTGTGATGCTGAATGTGATGTGTGTTAGTTTTTGCATGGTCAATGGATACAGAAAGGGGGTCCTTCATGCTAACAGACACCCTCTGTACTCAGGAACAACTCAGTCTTTAATCTTCAATTCATACATAAGTTCTGGGTGTTGACAAGAGAATTAATGATCTACAGTGTGGCATCGATGGCATCCAAGATTTAATTACGTTGAATCAATGGTAAATTAATTAATACTAATATCCAGATCTGGCTATTGTGCAACGTGAACAACTGCAAACACCCTTGGGAAGAATTCTGGAGTCTTGTTTCATATATTACAAAGTGTTTTTTTTTAATGCAACTATTAGCTGTTTGTCCTCAGCATGTTATACCAACGTAAGATTAGCAAAAATGTTGCACAGCCTTCAGGTTGACAACTAAACATTTACAAAAAGGAAGGCATTACTACAAATACAATTTCACTAGAATAGCAGCACTGCTTTGACAAATAAACTACAGTCAGTAGCAACCAAGAAAAACTACTGTAACTATATTGTAGCTGTTGGAATATTATACTGACCTCACAGCAAGATAAGCAATCAATAACCTTCACCTTTTTCATCAAAGGACTAGTGCTGATACCATGTGCTTCAGACCACATGTCTGGTGGCTGCCAACTCAAACATGACATTAGCTCTCAGCCGAGAGTTCGGGAGACCAAACGGAGCCAAGTCGCCATCTCCTCCCGACTGGTTTGAATCCGAGTCGAGAAGAGAGATCTTGCCGAAGCTGTCGGTGATGACACTACTGGAGAAACCATCTTTGGTCGGTTGCCCAAAAACAACAATAGTCCCGGTTGCTTAAAAAACCGGGACTAAAAAGCATTTTTAGACCCGGTTTAAAAGTACAATGATCTTTAGTCCCGGCAGGCCTCCTAATATTTTTAATCCCAGTTGGTATAAACAACCGGGAGTAAAGATCAGATCTTTAGTCCCGGTTGTTTATACCAACCGGGACTACAAATCAGTTTCCCACGTCTCGCTCTCTCTCTTCCATCATTTCTCCGCGCGCATCGATCTGAGTCCTCATCACCCTCTTATCTCTTCCTCCCCTCCACTCTCATCTCTTCCTCTTTCACACTCATCTCTTCCTCTCCCCTTCCTCTCTTCTCTTCCTCAGATCTGTGGGAGAAGCGGCCGGCAGCGGCCAGGCCCGTGCCGGGGAGGGGCGGCGGCGGCCGGGCCCGTGCCGGGGAGGGGAGGTGGCGGCTGGGCGATGGCGGCCAGGCGGTGGCTGAGCGACGGCGGCCCGGCGCGGAAGGCCGCGCGGCAGAAGGATTCATGGATTTTTTTTTCTTTTTCCTTCCCGTAAACCGTAAAAACGCGCGGCGGTTGCCTTAGCTGACTCGGCCCGGAATTGGCTCGCTAGGTTACCGCGAGGCACAATCGGTTGTCGGGGCGAGCTCCACGATCACTTCATCGCCAATTTTCAAGGCACCTTCGAGCGGCACAGACACACTTCGAACTATACAACGTGATCTAGAAACCCGATGAATCCCTCAGGGATATCTGGTGGCTACAACAACACATTCTTCGTATGAAAGACCGCGCATCAGCACTTACGGCAAGATCATGAACGGCTCTTGTTCACACCATCCAAATTCCAAGCAAGCGGTGAAGGATTGTTTCATATACAAGCAGTTTGCTGAACAATACGCCTCACAATTGAAGAAGCCGACTGATGGAGAAGCTGGCACATCAACTCAGAAGAAGGATGACATAGATCCGGGACCCCCCGGTTTTCACGATCACCGAAAAGAGCTCAATCACATCTTTGAAGGGCCACAAGCTTACGAGTCCAAGAGGAAGCAAAAGCTGACTGATAGGGAGATCAACACCATCCAGCCAGAAACACCACAATATCTTTGATGGTCAGAAGTTACAATCAAGTTTGACCGCTCGGATCATCCCGACTGAGTGGTCCACCTAGGGCGGTACCCCCTGGTACTAGACCTAGTGATTCGCAATGTCAAGCTCAAGCGTTCCCTCATCGATGGTGACAACGCACTCAATATCCTCTTCGCTAAGACTCTGGACGAGATGCAAATCCTAAGGATTGAGTTGCGGCCGAGTAGTGCACCCTTTCATGGAGTTATCCCTAGGCTGTCATCTACACCACTCGGCCAAATCACTCTGTCGGTTACTTTCGGCACTTGGGAAAACATCCGTACAGAGAACATTTGTTTCGAGGTTGCTGACTTCGAGACGACTTACCATGCTATACTTAGGCGTCCGGCGTTAGCCAAATTTATGGCCATCCCACACTACACGTACATGATGATGAAGATGCCAGGACCACAAGGAGTCATCTCTCTGTGAAGCGACATCAAGCAAGCTGCTACCTGCGACAAGGAGAGTTGCAACATGGTCCAAACTCACGAGACAGCACTCGGCCGTGAAGAAATCCGACTGGCTGCATCGACATTGGCTGAGGGTGAAGTGCCTGCTACCAAGTTACCTAAGACCAGAGAGGGTGACGTGAAAACTAAGAAGATTCCCCTTGATCCGTCCGATCCTGCCAAAACTGTTGTAATAGGCGCTGAGTTAGATTATAAATAGGAAAGCGCGCTCATCACCTTTCTTCAAGCTAATAAAGATATTTTTACGTGGAAACCATCTGATATGCCTGGTATTCCTAAAGAGGTGATTTTACACTCCTTAAATGTTAAAGAAGACATCAAACCTATCAAACAACGACTCTGCCGTTTTGCACAAGTCATGAATGACGCAAATAAGGAAGAATTGACCAAGCTGTTAGCGGTAAGATTCATAAAGGAAGTATTTCATCCCGACTGGCTGGCTAACCCAGTTCTAGTTCGGAAGAAGACAGGGCAATGGCGCATGTGTGTTGACTACACGGACCTCAACAAGTCGTGCCCTAAAGATCCTTTCGGGTTGCCTCGCATTGACTAGGTAGTTGACTCAACAGCCAGCTGTGAGCTACTCAGGTTTTTGGATTGCTACTCAGGTTACCACCAAATCAGTCTGAAGGAGTCCGACTGCTTGAAGACATCATTCATCATGCTATTCGGCGCTTACTGTTATATCACTATGCCGTTTGGTTTGAAGAACGCTGGAGCTACTTACCAACGCATGATTTAAAGATGTTTTTCAACACGGATTGGCTGCAATGTGGAAGGATGGCTTGATTGCCGATTTGGAAAGAATACCTTTGCTAGTATATGTGCATTCAGGATGAAATTAAACCCTGAGAAGTGCACATTCGGAGTACCGTCATGGAAGCTACTTGGCTTTATGGTGACTCATAGGAGGAAAAAGATGGAAGAAAGAGAAAAAAAAGAAGGAAGAGGGAAGAAATAAATAAAAAAATTCCATGTCATTGTCCACGTGGCGTGCCACATAAGCAAGACCACGGTCAAACGCGGCTTTGCACCGGGATGATACAATAAACCAAGTTTAGGAACCTCGATGTGTGCTTTGAAAGTTCGTGGACCTAAGTGAAACCTCCTGACAAGTTTAAGGACCGCTGGTGCATTTTACTCTTTATATTATTTGCTAAAAGCGGATGGTGAATCCATTATGAGGTTATATTACTCGGATTTTATACCACATATGCTTTGATATAGAGCAAGTTTTAAATTGCTCATTTCATTTAATAAAGCAGTCAGTATAATATTTGGGTCAAGTTATCCAAAGTTTGACACATCGTATGCTTTATCATATGTTCACCTTGGTGATTAAATTTATAAACCACTCGGCTGGTTGTTTTTTCTTCATCATTGACTATATGTTTAGTTTACTCAACTAATCACTTAGTGGGGGCTACATCTATAAGGTGCATCTAGTCGATGCACCTAAATTTTTATTTCAGCCATTCACAGCCTTTGATTCAAGCACTCGGGAGACCAAGGCAGAGATAATTGAAGCACTCAAGATTTTTCTTTAATGACTCGGGGGAAGATTATTTCGTCGACTGTGAAGGATTCAGGGGCTACTATGGAGATTATGGGTACCACATACCCGCACGGCATGGATATCCGACTGGTTATTGGGGATAGTTTATACGTGTAGAATATGTTTAGGAAAGGATTCGGGTATTATGTTAACTTGTATATCAAGGAAATATCCCGTAGTCCTAATTGGTTACAATTGTAATATATCTGTAAGGCCTAATCCGTAAGGAATATGGTCTGTATCTTGTAATCTCGGCTCCTCCCCTATATAAGGAGGGGTCTGGGCGGTCCTAGGGGCATAACTTTTCTCCCAGTTCGTCAGATCAATAATAAACTCGGCGGAATATTTCCCCGGATATGAGTAGGGTATTATTTCTCATTGAGAGAGCCTGAACCTGTATAAATCATTTGTTTCCTAATCCATTCAGTTTTCTAGCTTGATTGTCACCCCTTTAGTATTGTCGAAATCTTGTTTCGACAAAACTAAAAAGATGTTGTACTGACTACTGCATAAATTTTCATTGTTACATGCCATGAAGTAATTAAAGGAAGACTCCTTTTATTATATCTTCAAGCAACTGAGTGCACACATGATCCCTTATTTTACAAGCTTTTCTTTTTTTTTTAAGAATTACACAGTGCATGAACGCACGCGCGCAAACCCATGAAGTAATTAAAGGAAGACTCCTTTTATTATACCTTCAAGCAACTGAGTGCACGCATGATCCCTTATTTTACAAGATTTTTTTTTTAAGAATTACACAGTGCATGAACGCACGCGCGCAAACCCTACCCCTATGAGTATCTTTTTTTTTTTGAGAATTACACAGTGCATGAAAGCACGTATGCAAACCCTACTCCTATGAGCATCTTCGAAGACGCATGATCCCTTATTTTACAAGCTTTTTACCCCTATGAGCATCTTCTTTTTTTTGAGAATTACACAGTGCATGAACGCGTAAACCCTACCCATATGAGTATCTTCTTTTTTTTTGAGAATTACACAGTGCATGAACGCACGCGCGCAAACCCTATCCATATGAGCATCTTCTTTTTTTTTTTGAGAATTACACAGTGCATGAACGCACACGCGTAAACCATACCCTTACGAGCATCTTCGAAAACTGGGCCGGCAAATAAATCCTGGAAAATTCACTTCCATGGGGAGTCAAACTCAGGACCTAAGGTATTACTGAGGCTCCTGTAACTACTAGGCTACTGGCCCTTTCACACTAGCTACTAGTATTAGATTAGCCAGGTAATCTCTGTAGAACAATTCCGTGATGGAGCAAGCAAATATCGCACTCAGAGTGGTTGTTGGCTCAATGCAGAGCATTTCCTCTGATTTAGATCGAACAGTTTCTAGATTAATTAAGTATTAATTAGTAGGAGTACTATCTCTTCATGACACTCCATTATATGGAAGTGCGACCGTGTCAACCCATACTAAGCAAAAATATCCATTATTGATGACTACATCGAAAATGAAAGAAAAATATCTAACCAAAATAAGTTTTTATGGCATACAACCAGGTAATCTCCAGTAGTATACTGTAGTTGTCACCTTTTTTAACGTGGTATTAGCTGCACTGGTAGTCTGGTAATGACGTTTCTCACAAGTTTGTGGCCTTTACAACAACAACAAAAGAAGGTACTCAGTGTAATAAACAACTTTCCTAGCAAATAGGAAAAAAAAGAGTGTACAGTGTAATAAATAG